GAAGCATGTCGCCAAATAATTTCCAGATGTCTAAAACGTGTGTTAAGCATGTTTCAAACACGTGAAGGCACGTTCAGAACATGCTTAGAGCATTTTCCGACATGTTAAACACATGTTGAATTCAATGATAGGACTGTTCGGGTGTCCACTGTCGCGGCATCCACAAGCTTAGCAGGAAGGGGGCTCGGGAGCAGGAGACCAAGCGGCAGAACCAGACGGGCGGGCCCGGACGGGCGCGCCCCAACGGGTGGGTCGAGAGGGCGGGCCCAGACGGCGGGGTCGCCGAAGCGCGAGCCGTGCATTCATCTCGAGGAAGTCTCGAGCGACGGCGCGGCTCCCAAGGAAGCTGTGAGGAACACCAGAGCGAGAGCGTGATTCCCGAGTGTCGAGGGCGCGGCGTCTGAAGCAATTGCGAGGGAGTCCCACGCGACAGCGAGGTTCTATTTTATGAATTGTGGGGAGGTCCCGCGCGAGAGTGCGATTGTCAATACATTGTGACGACGCATCCGGCGGGAACCGCTGTTGTTGTGAACAGGTGGCCAAAGACACAGTCTGAGGCGCAAGAGTTTCCCTTGTACTACGAGGGTGTGAGCCCGGGAGGGGCACTTCAACCCAAAAAAGCACAAGGTGCACAGGAGGGAGGTGATCCACAAAACTTATTATTTTTTGAAATGGGAATTCAACGATAAGTTTAAGACTATTCGTTCTCGTCTGTTTGTGTGTCAGTCCACATGTATATCCTAAACCCGCGATGTCTGCCCGCGCAGCCCTCAAAAAGAGGAAGAGGAGGGAGACAGGAGAAGAGAGAAAGAGAGAGAGAGAGAGAGCGGGAAGGGAGTGATGAGGGAACCGACAACGGGGGAAGCATGGGGCACGAAAGAACGAGAGATCATCAGGAATGGCGGGTAGGAGCAGGAAAACAAGCGGCAGAACCAGGCGAGTGGGCCGGGCGGGCGGGCGGACCCTAACGGGCGAATCGGTCCGGCGCACCCAGACGGCGAGAGAGTGATTCTTGAGTGTGGAGGCGTGACGCCTGAATACATCGCGAGAAAGTACCATGCGAGAGCGCGATTCATGTGTAAGATGCAAGGCAGTCCCGGGCGCGAGCGCGACGTTTCAATAACTTGTAAGGAGGTATTGGTCTGGAGCTGTTTTTGTAGTAGTTCGGGTGCCCACATCCCAGGAGCCCATTTCTTAACTGCTTGGGGCATGACGGGCGTCATGGTCCCCGCTCCCCCCCCCCCCATTCATGACGTAACGCTCCCCCCCCAGCGCGCTCTGGGCACTGCCGCCGTGCGCTCTGGGATCCGCGTAGGTGTCCGCATAGGAATCCGCATAGGTGTCTGGTCCGCAGTCGTCGTCGCCGTCGTCGTCGTCGTCGTCGTCGTCGCTCGTGGCTTGCCGCTCGTCGCCCAGAGTCGTCGTGCGCGCGGACGCGGTTCAAACCTGTTTTTTATTCCGGGCCGATAACGGCAATCATCTAGGAGGGTGGAAGGGGTCGATGACGTCACGTTTCGCGCCGGCGGCGTCATGTAGGTGGCGATTTGCACCACAACGCCTGTGTACACCACAGTGCCTGCGTGCACCACAACGCCTGTGTGCACCACAGCGCCTATGTACACCACAGCAGCCGCGTGCAACTCAGCGTCAGTTTGTGCCACCGTGTTTGCGGGCACAGCAGCTCTTGTGCACACCACAGCGCCTGCGTACACCACACCAGCCGTGTGCGCCAGAGCAACAGTGTACACCACAATGCCTGCGTGCATTGCCTGTGTGCACCGCAGCAACCGTGTGCAACACAGCACCACTGTTGTATATATCATGTTAGGACGAATCCTTATGACAAAATGGAACGCTTGTGGCTTCCACAGAAAGCAACAGAAAATAGTCCTTATGGACAACGGAGCGCCACTGGAGTCCTCCCGAGTCCGCCCGCATCACCCTAACTCCTCCCATTTGCGTCCAGGCGGCTCCGGTTAAATTGGCCGTCCAAGAACCAAGTGGACCGATTCAATAGACCAGTTTTCGGTGCGCACTGAGATGCGCACGTGCGCTGTAGCGCCAACCCGCGCGACTGGGGGTAAGGAGGAGGAGCAGGAGGTGGTGGAGGTGGAGGAGGAGGAGGTGGTGGAGGTGGAGGAGGAGGGAAGAGGGAATAACGTCGCATGTGATTGTCAGCACTTTCTTGGCGTGGCGTCCAAATGTCCGCAGCAAATCCTCACGTACATGTTTTTCTACCTGTCTTATGCACGCAGGCGTTGTGGTGTACACCAGCGCTGCGCTGCACGCGGATGCTGCGGTGTGGACGCGCGCTGTGGCGTGCACAGGCGCTGCGGTGCACGCAAGCATTGTGGTGTACACAGGCGCTGCGTTGCACAGGGTAGCTGCGGTGCACACATGTACACCGGCGCTGTAGTGTACGCAAGCATTGTGGTGTACACAGGCGTTGCGTTACACATGGCTGTTGCGGTGTCCGCAGGCGCTGTGGTATACATGCGCGCTGTGGTGCACGCGAGCGCTGTTGTGTACACAGGCGCAGTGGGCCATATCGCCACCTACATGCTGCTCGCGTAGTCGTCGTCGTCGTCGTCGTCGTCGTCGTCGTCGTCGTCGTCGTCGTCGTCGTCGTCGTCGTCGTCGTCGTCGTCGTCGTCGTCGTGTCGTCGTCGTCGTCGTCGTCGTCGTCGTCGTCGTCGTCGTCGTCGTCGTCGTCGTCGTCGTTCGTTGTTCGTCGCTCGTCGCGTCGCGCGCGCGGGCGCGGCTGCGGTGCCGGAGCCACACGGCGGGGGGGGGGGCGTTACGTCATACCCTCCGTTCGCCCCCCCCCTCCCCTCATGACGCCCGTCATCGCCGAACATAAAGAAACGCGTTCCAGCTTGAGGTCACGGGATTTTCCGTTGCGAAAAACAGGGTGCGAGCCCCAGGAGGGAACAGGGGTAACTCGGGTCAGGGATAACTCGGGTTCGTTTTTCGGGAATCCAAACCCGAGTTACCCCGGACCCGAGTTACCCCGGATAACTCGGGCGTCCAGAGCCCCGAATCATCAGGGATAACTCGGGTCAGGGATAACTCGGGTTCCTTTTTCGGGAATCCAAGCCCGAGTTACCCCGGACCCGAGTTACCCCGGATAACTCGGGCGCCCAGTGTTATCGGGGAGGGGGGATCAACCATTTTTTTGTCAGAACCGGAGAATCCGCCGCGGGGAACCTTAATTCAGCCGCGCACCCGGGGACGGTGCAGGACCGTTCGCCCGAGTGACTATGATTTTCGCCCCGTCAGCATTGCCACGCCACGGGTGGAGTGCAATCAAATGTCTGTCCGCTGCCCTTGTGCTGCTTCGCGATGAACAGAGCTGACCCGTATTTCTCCCCGCCCCCCTGCGTTGCCACGCGACGACTGGAGTAGACTAGTGTGTTCCCGCCCGTCCGCGATGCCACGTGACGATTCAAGTAGAGTGGCATTTGTTGTTGTCCCTTGCGGTAACTCGTGACGAGTGGAACATCGAAGTATTTGCAATTTTGTTTCTTGCGGTGTACCCTTACGAGTAGAACAGAGTACTACTTGTTTCACCCCCGTGTGTTGCCACGTGATGAGTAGAGCAGAATTGCATGTTTCACGCCCCGACTTCGCTACCACGTGACACGTGGGGTAGGCTAGTATGAGCTCTGCCCCCCTGCGTTTGCACGTGGCGAGCGGAGTAGAAGAGCAATTTGTCCGCCACTTTTGCGGTGCCATTTGCCGTGTGAAAGAGTTGGAGTCTCAGTTGTTGTTGCCCCACATTATGTTGCCGCGTGACGAGTATAAGAGAACGATATATGTTCCGCCCCTTGCGTTGCCACATAACGATTCGATCATAATTGTTTCTTTTGTTCACACTTCACACGAGGATTTGCGTTGCCACGGGACGGGTTTAATCGATATGCATGTTGTCCACTTTGTTTGCGTTGCCACGTGATGAGTATATTCCAGCTGTTCTTCGTCCGTTGCCCTGCGCTGCCACCTGACAAGTAGAGCACAATACGCTGATACCGTGCCTGCGCGACGCAGGTGTGTTGGAATGCCGAGTGCTGCTCGGTATGGACTTCCTTTTCTTGATAAGAGGCTCCCCTTTTGCCAGCAGAGTTCGGGCGAAGAGAACTATGCACATGCACCGATCCTGGTAAGGCCCATCCTTGACCCAGGATCGGTGCATATGCCTTCCTGGCCAAGGTAGGAGGGCGTATGCACCGATCCTGGGCTCAGGATGGGCCTGGCCAGAATCGGTGCATGTGCATAGTTCTTTTCCCTCTAAGAGTCCTCCCGAGGCCACGATCCCTCGTAAGAGCAGGTGGATCCGCGCGGCCGAGGCCGCGAGCCCTCGTTGCAAACTGTGGGTGTCCGCGGCCCGAGCTTCCAAGACGGCCCATGCTGGCAACCACGGCCAACAAGATGGCCCAGGATGCTTCGGCCAGGATCGGGGGTGGACACAACCCCCAACAGTGACACGTCGATTAGTGAATTGTCCGTTTTCGGTTTTCGAGAGGGCGCCGTGGCCGTTATTTTCCAGGCTTGCGCCAGCCAGGTTTGGGCCCGAAGTCGTTTTCATTAAACCACGTTCTACTAAAGGGAGGTTTGTCCATCCCCGACAGGACGGCCCAAGGCAGCCGAATGTTGCCTCAAGGTGACTCAAGATCGACAGATTCTCTCTGGTTCTTATGGATTTTCGCATCCTCGCCTCTTCGGGCTTCTGTCGGCTCACGACGGCCCAGCAAGCCTCCACGATGGTTCCAGGATGGCCCGAGGGGCCCCCACGAGGGTCCGAAGATGGCCCCAGAAGACCCTACGAGGGCCCAAGAGGCATCCAAGACGGCCTCAAGACGGCCCAGAAGGGCCTCCTGTGGGACCCAAAACAGCCTAAGAAGGCCTTGCTTAGACGGTGTCAAGACGACCCCACGATGGTCCCCAGACAGCCACCATACGGCCAAATGGGTCCCAAGACGGGCCAAGAGAGCCCCATCCGTAGCCATTTTGGCTCAAGCCAAGTGCGCTCACGTTTCTGGGACTATTCGAGTCCTTGTTCATCCCCGCGCGCATTCTTATCGTGGTTTCCGAGCATGGAGTCTGCAGCGCTGGATGCCGAGTTCATCGGCCGTCGTCTTTCGGTCGAAGATTCGGTATCTGTTGGCTCTGAAGGCGAATGCGTGTTTGGCTTTTCGGTCGCGGGTTACGTGACGGACTTCATAATAAGTTGCACGAGCGTCGCCTGTGCCCTGGTCGTCATCTGCAAGCAAAGGTCCTTAGACAAGTACTCTCCGGGAGTCCTCGTCATTCGTGCGTTTTCCGCCTCCGCCATGTTCTACGGGGTTGCTTTCCTTTCAGGGGGTCTCGCGCACATGTGGATCGGGATTTACCACTCACAGGGGGAGATGGAAGCGTTCACCATGGGAGCCGAAAACAGCGGGTGGATCTGGACGTGGCTCGTCGCGGTGACCACTACACCTTCGATCTACACGTGTGGCCTGGGGATGGTGCTTCCGTACTCGATGCGCGCCGTCTGGAAACCTGCCCTCGCACTCGTCGCCTTTGTCGTCGCCGCGGTCGAGGCTTATTTGGTGTTCAATACCGAGTTGCTGAAGTTGTGGTCTGGTGCACCGAACTTGTTGGTATCTTTGCTCGCGAGCCTGATCATTTCGATCTGGGCATGCTGCCGGGCTTGCGGTGGAGAAATCGGCATGCCAGCGATCGCCGCTGGCTCGGGCACCATCCTCGCCGCATGGTTGCAGCAACTGTTTGTGCCAGCGGGATGCAGAGACCAGTGCGCGGCAGACTTCGACACGTTGTGTCCGTATCCAAAGGACTTCAACCAGAACGCCGTCTTCCACGTCATCTTGTTGGTCGGCATCATCGTACAGTTCGTCGGAGTAATGCAGCGCACACAGAGTGAGCTCTACACGGAGTAGTGCGACGCAGGGCGTTCATGGCCCGTCTGACGCCTTCGGATGCCGTTTTTCGAGGCTGAACGCTTGGCACTTTAGGTCTTGCTGCGCTCACGTGCCAGAATTCCTGATCCACAGTTGTTGGCCAAAGAACCTATCCTTATTGTCGGCGCTGTGTTTCGCTTTGTCGCTTTATCCTTCGCCTTCCTTTGACCCCTCCCCCCTGTGCGACTCAGACTGGCGTCATTGGGTCGTGGCACTGTTTATCACCACCCACCAAACCACCCCAACCCAACCCGAAGCCCTCAATTTGCCCTCCATTTCCAGTGGGGGGGGGTCGGGAAACGTTGAAAAAACACATGGTATCCGTACCCCCCCCAACCCGAAATTCGGGTCAAATTCGGGTCTTCGGGTTGGGTTGGGGTGGTCTGGTAGGTAGTCAGTTTCTGTGTCGACGGGATGGACGCGGGAATCTGCAGTCCAACACTTTTGGTGCGCCCCCGGCCGAAGGCTGCGCGGCCCACAGGCGGAGGCCTTCGTCCTACAAGGGTGGATGGCAGCCCGTGGCTTATTGGCGGTTTGCGTGGCGGTTCGCGGAAAAAAAAAAATATTAAAAAAACAACAACAAAAACAACAAAAAAAACAACAAAAAAAAACAACAAAAAAACAACAACAAAAAAAACAGCAAAAACAAAAACAAAAACAACAAAAAAACAACAAAAAACAGGCCAACAGAAACAACAAAAACAACAACAACAAAAACAACAAAAAAAACAAAAACAACAAAAACAACAAAAAAAAACAAAAAAAACAACAAAAAACAACAAAAACAACAAAAAAAAACGGAAAACAAAAACAACAAAAAAAAAACGGGCCAAGAGAGCCCCAAGACGGCCTTCCGCAGTCATTTTGGCTCAAGCTTTTGGGTCCAGTGCCCTTGCATACCATATTCACTTCCTCTCGCATTCTCGACGCAGGTTCGCCGATCGAAGCGTCGATGACGTTATTACTCTTACATTTTGTTGCGGCCACCTGCGCCTGCAACATGAAGGAAGTGGCCAGCGTGCATGTGATACCCAGCGGCGGCGACGAGTTGCGGCCGTCGCTTCACTTTCGACTCGAACCTGATTCTGACCCTTCACCTGCACGGAAACACAAACATTCTTCACCGGTAACACCAGAAGAGTTGTTCAATGAGTATTTGGACACCCATCCAGATGACGCAGAGTATGCCCCATCTGGAACGACTGGGTCAATGGTGTCGCCATCGGGATCGTACGGTCCGATCCTCGTCGTCTACATGACGTACAATGACGCTACACCGGGACACCCTGACCCTTTGAGCCTCACAGATGTTCAGGCTTCAACGATTCTTTGTATCACAGCTCGTGGCACAAGCTCTGGTTGGACGCCGATAGTGTGGACTTCTTCCAAATGGAAGCGCCTGGAGACCCTGCGAATTGGGGTGGCAGCCTGTGGAACTTGTATCAAAGCGTAAGCCAGCACGGTGCCTTTATGACACAGTACCAGACCAAAAGTTACACGAATGTCATGGTGCTGTATCCTGGGAGTACATTTCAGGCCAGTGTTTTTTTGCCAACCTCTGGGGGCTGGAACGGGTGGTCCCAGTACCAGGGCCAGGCCATCACCTGGCAGACCTTCTTCCACGAGGTGGGGCACAACTGGGGCCTCGTCCACTGCGGAGGGTACAACTCCGACGGGACCTTCAGCGAGTATCTCGACGATGCGATCATGGGTTATCAAAGGGCAACTAAGTATTCGGACCCTAATGCTGTTACGCGCTACAGGCTCGGTTGGCTGACAGGGGCCGAGGTGGTGGAGTTTGTGCGAGGGTCTGACCACACGGTGGTCAACCTCTCTCCCCTCAACGAGGGACCAGATGGGCCCGAATTTTTGATGGTAAAGATCCCGTGCGATGAATGTATTGGACAGACACAGTCTGTCACAGGCGAAGGTGCCCTCTACCTCTCATTCCGTCTTGATACCACGCCGAGCCTATATGGCATTTCAAACAAATTCAATGAACATTACATGGGTCTGTTTGACAAGTTCTTGTGCACCTCTGCGACACCGTGCACAAATTTCGGCACGGGTTATCTTCAATTGGCAGACCGCGTTCATGTTCATTTCCAGCCCGATGTTAATGCGCAGACTGAATTGTGGACGACATTGGCAGATGGAAGTACCATCGAAATCGTTGAGCCTAGCATATGGATTCATGTCTGCAGCATCAACGTCGCGACCTGGGCGAAGGTAAGCGTCTCAGACACGAGCGCAGCCTTGGCGATGGCAGGATGCACGCCAATGACATCAGCACCGACGCCAGCACCGACACCAGAACCAACGCACGCACCGACGCCAGGTCCGACGCCAGCACCTACACCAGCGCCTACAGCAGCACCTACACCAGTACCGACGCCACCACCGACACCGTCACCGACACCAGCACCGACACCAGCTCCGACGCCAGCGCCGACGCCAGCACCGACACCAGCCCCGACATCAGCGCCGACACCAGCGCCGACACCAGCGCCTACGCCAGCGCCGACGCCAGCACCGACATCCGAACCGATACCGGCAACAACACCAGCGCCGACATTGTCACCGACACCAGCGCCGACACCAGCACCGACCCCAGAACCGACACTATCATCGACATCATTACTAAAGGTTGCTGCCGAGTACTCCGCGGACGAGATTCTCCCACTTGGCGTGACTGCGTCTGACCTCATGGCTTCTACTGTCTACAAGACCGCCAAGAAGGAGGGATTATCCTCCGCTCTGTCCGTGCCCGCCTCCGACATCACCATCACAGGTTTCACCCTGGGTGTTCGCCGGTTCCACGCTGCTACTGACCAGCTGATGGGCTTCGAAGAGGTGGAGCTCACCAATGGCACAGTCCTTGTGTTGACTAGCTTCGTGGTGGAGGCTGCTGACATCAGCACTGCCACCGCCCTCTCCACCACGATTGCTGGAGCTTCTTCCGCCGTCAAGGTCTACACTGATAATGCCATGGCTGTCGCAGACTGGAGCGGCGAGCCGTTGATCGTCACGGCTCCCTCGATAACGACCGTGGTCATGGCCACCCCGACCGTGGTTGTATCCACCCCAGCACCGACGCCAGAACTCCCACCAACCAGTGGCCCTGACAGTGGCCCAGTCTCTGGCGTTGGCGACCCCCACCTCACCAACATGTATGGCGAGCGGTTTGACGTCTACAGGACGGGGGTAATCATTCTGTTGCAGATACCGCGAAGGGTAGGTCCACAGGATACGTTGCTGCATTTGGAGGCCGACGCCATGCGCCTGGGCGGTGCGTGCTCTGAGGTGTATTTCCAGATTGTGAGAATATCTGGGACTTGGACGAACCAGAGTGCTGGGATAACCTTCTTCGCGAAGTCTGGCGACAGGCCCAACAGAATGGCGTGGACGCGATTCGGTAGGATCGACGTGAAAATGGTGAACGGTAAGACTTGCGAGGGTCTCGAGTACCTCAACGTCTACGCGAGGAAGCTTGGGAATGCCCAGCATCCAGTCGGCGGTCTCCTCGGAGGTGACACAGACGCTACGGCCACGACCCCCGATGAGAGGTGCTCTCACGCCTTGGCCCTTGCCGCGTATTGATGCGACGGCGCCGTGTGGCGTACGCTGTTGCGGAGGATGCGGCACGCGGTTGTGCGCCGCTGATGTCGCAGCTCGACCTCCGCCAGACGGGCGCGCTGATGCCGCGTAGGACTCGAATTGGCCAGACCTCGGGTTTGCCGCCGCTTTGGTGGTCCTGACGCGAGTTGTGTTGGTCCAGGTTCCGCGATAACTATGTTTGCAGCGGTGAGTAATTCGCGTCAAATTTCAGATTGCCCCGTCAACTTGAGCCGCCCAAGCTCGAGTGTTCTTGTCTTTCTCAATTTATCCTTCTGCCTCCTGTCTCTGTCTTTCCTCGTCGCAAGGCGGCTTTCTCTCCATGCTCCGTTACCCCTCCTTCGTCCAGCACGTGCTCCGCCAGCTGGCGTGACAGCGCACGCATTCAATATCAAGGCTGTGTTCCCTACTTCCTCCGTCGTTCCTCGATCTTCCTGCAAGTGCTCTGCCACCCAGCGTGACAGCACGTGCATCATGTATCAAGACAGCTTGCCCTGCGTTCTCTGGCATTCCTCGTTCCTTCTGCACGTGCTCCGCCAGCTGGCGTGGCAGCGCGTGCATGCTGTCAGGGCAGTTGTTGTCCCTTCCACCGTCGTTCTTCGACCCTCCCGCTCGTGCACCTTGCTTCTCCCCCCTCACTGATCGCCCCCCCATTACACGCCGGTCGTTCAAAGTAGGTACTTCTGGATTCCCAGATCCCACTATATTTCTAGCGCTTTCCTACTTCAAGGATCAATATGGTTTTGCTGTGTTTTCTTGTTCACTGGGAGGGCCTGGACCCAATCTACTTTAGCTGCCTTCCTGCTTCATGTTTTTACCTACGTCTTCCGACCGACGTGTAATTCACGCCCGACCGTTTCTCTTCGCCGCGCGCCTGCGCTGGAGCCTCTTGCTCGGCCTGGCGCCGCACGACCGGACTGTCCTGCGTGCCCTACCTCACTGAGCTGCCACCCGTGCGCCCCCTAATGGCGCTGGTAGGCAGGCAGCCCCGCGGGCGTCGCAAGCTCGTGTCTGCGTATTTTTTTTTTACGTCCAGGCTGCGGTCTGGTCTTGGGAGGCTTCGTCTGAGCATGGCCTCCTCGTTTGCGCTCGAGAAAAGGAGGGAGAGAGAGCCCCAAGACGGCCTAAGAGGACCCCAAGACGGCCCGAGGGGGCCCCAAGGGTCCCCCAATGCTCCTTCAAAGCGTCCGAGACACGGCCCAAACGAGCTCCAGGAGAGTTCCAAGAGTGAAGACGAAAGGTGTGGCATGTGACGGCCTGGGGGGGATGGGGCGGAGGGGGCCGCGTGGCGCCAGCGCGGCAGGGACGGGTGGGGGCAGCGGTCTCGGGTTGGAAATCAGCCAGGTCCGAGTTCAGCTTGGGTCCGAGTTCAGCGTGGTCCGAGTTCAGCTTAGGTCCGAGTTCAGTTGGGTCCGAGTTCAGCTGGGTTCCAGTTCAGCTGGCGTCGTCAGTGGCCACTTGAAGCCGTCTTGGAGTACGTAGTGTTGTTGCCGCTTGGAGGCTTGCTGGAAAACAGTTGATATCGTGTCTGTATTGAACGTCATTCAGGGCTATCTGAGGCAATCTCGGAGTACACATCTTGGGGCATCTTGGATGATCTAGCGCGCGTCGCCCTCCCCCCCCGTCCAGACTCAGCGATGGGCATGGGTAGAGGTAAGTTCCTCCCCTCATGAGAAGAAGGGGGATAGAACAACAAACGCGCTTAACCACCTATGCCAAGAAGGCTGGCGAGATTCACATGGGACGGCAATGATATCGATGAGATGCGGCCTGTGTGGTTTGTGTTTTCACACCGGAAGCTTGCACGGGGCTCTCCGTACAAATGCAGGAGCGCGCTCGTGGCACTGTTCTTACTAAAAGGGAGGTTCCAGCCTGAAGCTACCCCCCTCCCTTGGAAGGGGAGGGGCTTCTGGAGGCTTCCAGACTACCCCCCAGCCCGGGCTTTCTTTCCAAAGGAGGGGCTTCGAAGCTACACCCTCCCTGCCCTCCTTTTCAGGACCCCGGGTAAGCCCGGGCTCCTTTTTCCCAAGGGGGTGGGGGGCTTCTGTTGGCTTTTCCAGCTGGAGGGCCCTGGCTGAAGGTGGCGTTTTTTTCTTCCTTGGTTTTCGGCGCCCCGTTGGTTTTCGGCGTACTTGTGGTTTTCGGCATCTTTGGGTTTTCGGCGCCCCTTCGGTTTTCGGCGCCCCTTTCTTTCGTTTTCGGCGCTCCTTTGGTTTTCGGCGCTCCTGCGGTTTTCGGCGCTCCTTTGGTTTTCGGCGCCCCTTTTGGTTTTCGGCGCATCGTTAGTTTTCGGCGCCCTATTGGTTTTCGGCGCCCTCTTGGTTTGCGGCTCCATTTTCGTTTTCGGTGCTGCTTTAGTTTTCGGGGTTCCTATGGTTTCGGCACTCTTTGGATTTTGACGCACCTTTGGTTTTCGGCGCCCTTCGGCTTTCGGCGCGCCTTTGGTTTCTGGCGCCCTTTGGTTTTCGACGCCCTTTTGGTTATCGGCGCCCCTTGAGTTTTTCGGCGCCCTTTTGGTTTTCGGCGCATCGTTGGTTTTCGGCGCCCCTTGGGTTTTCGGTGCCTCTTGGTGTTCGGCGCCTCTTTGGTTTTCGGCGCCCTTTTGGCCTTTGGCGCCCTTGTGGGATTCCGCGCCCCGCCCTTCTCGTTTTCAGCTCCTTGTCCGTCTTCGCAGCTTCTGTTGTTTGCGGCGCCCCTTTCGTATTCGGCGCCCTTCTGGTTACCGACGCCCCTTTGGTTTCTCGGCGTCCTTTTGGTTTTCGGTTGGTTTTCGGTGTCCTGTCGGTTTTCGGCGCCCCTTGGGTGTTCAGCACCCCTTTGGTTTTCGGCTGCCTCTTGGTTTTCGGCGCCCCTTTGGTTTTCAGTGCTCTTTTGGTTTTCGTCGCCTGCTTGGTTTTCGGCGCCCCATTGGTTTTCGGCGCGCCTTTTTGTGTTTGGTGCCCTTGTGGTTTGCGGCTCCTTTTTAGTTTTTGGTGCCCCCACGGTTTTGGGTGCCTCTTTGGTTTTCGGTGCCCTTTCGGTTTTCGGCGCTCCTTTGGGTCTCGGCGCCCCTTTTGGTTTTCTGCGCACCCTTTGGTTTTCGTCGCATCGTTAGTTTTCGGCGCCCTCTTCGTTTTCGGCGCCCCTTTGGTTCTCGGCGCCCTCTTGGTTTTCGACGCCCTTTTAGTTTTCGGGGCCCCTTTAGTTTTCGGGGTTTCTATGGTTTTCGGCACTTTGGATTTTAGCGCCCCTTTGGTTTTCGGCTTTCGGTGCGCCTTTGGTTTCTGGCGCCTTTTGGCTTTCGACGCCCTTTTGGTTATCGGCGCCCTTTTGAGTTTTTCGGCGCCCTTTTGGTTTTCGGCGCATCGTTGGTTTTCGGCGCCCCTTTGGTTTTCGGTGCCTCTTTGGCGTTCGGCGCCTCTTTGGTTTTCGGCGCCCTTTTGGTTTTCTGCGCACCCTTTGGTTTTCGGCGCATCGGCGGTTTTCCCTCCTGGGTTCCGGCGCCCCTTTGGTTTTCGACACCCTCTTGGTTTTCGGCGCCCTTTTGGGTTTCGGCGCTCTTTGGTTTTCGGCGTTCTTTTGGTTTTCGACACTCTTTGGTCTTTGGCGCCACTTTGGTTTTCGGCGCCCTTCGGCTTTCGGCGCCCCTTTAGTTTCTGGCGCCCTTCGGCTTTCGGCGCCCCTTTGGTTTCTGACGCCCTTTGGTTTTCGATGCCCTTTTGGTTATCGACGCCCCTTTGGTTTTTCGGCGCCCTCTTGGTTTGTGGCGCCCTTTTAGTTTTCGGCGCCCCTTTAGTTTTCGGGGCTCCTATGGTTTTCGGCACTTTTTCGATTTTTACGCACCTTTGGTTTTCGGCGCCCTTCGGCATTCGGCGCGCCTTTGGTTTCTGGCGCCCTTTGGTTTTCGACGCCCTTTGGTATTCGGCGCCCCTTTGGTTTTTCGGCGCCCTTTTGGTTTTCGGCGTATCGTTGGTTTTCGGCGCCCCTTTGTTTTTCGGTGCTTCTTTGGAATTTGGCGCCTCTTTGGTTTTCGGCGCTCCTTTGACCTTTGGCGCCCCTTTGGGTTTCCGCGCCCTTTTGGTTTTCGGCTCACTGTCCGATTCCAGAGCTTCTGTCGTTTCCGGTGCCCCTTTCGTATTCGACGTCTTTCCGGTAATCGACGCGCTTTTGGTTTTTCGGCAACCTTTGGATGTTCGGCGCTCCTTTGGTTTGGGGCGCCCTCCTGGTTTTTGGCGCCCCTTTGGTTTTCGGCGCCCCCTTGGTTTCGGCGCCCCCTTGGTTTTCGGTGCGCCTTTTTGTGCTTGGCGCTTTTTTGGCTGTCGTCCTCCTTTTTGTTTTCGGCGCTTCCTTGGTTTTTGGCGCCCATTTGGTTTTCTGCGCCTTTCGGTTTTCGGCGCTCCTTTGGTTCTCGGTGCCCTTGTTGTTTTCGGCGCTCCTGCGGTTTTCGGCGCTCCTGCGGTTTTCGGCGCCTCTTTGGTGTTCGGCGCCTCTTTGGTTTTCAGCGCCCCTTTGGTTTTCGGCGTCCTTTTCAAGTTCGGCGACCCTTTGGTTTTCGGCGCCCTTTTGGGTTTCGGCGCCTTGAGTTTTCGGCGCTATTTTGGTTTTCAGCGCTGCTCTGGTTTTCGGCGCTCTTTTTGTTTTCGGCGCCTTTTTGGTTTTCGGCGCCCCGCTGGCTTTCGGACCCTTTTTTGGTTTTCGGCGCCTTTTGGATTCTGGGTGTTCTTTTGGTTTTCGGCTCCTCGGGGTTCTCGGCGCCCCTTTGCTTATCGGCGCTCTTTGCGTTTTCGGCGCTTCTTTGGTTTTCGGCTCCTGTGTGGTTGTCGGCGACCTTTCGGTTTTTGGCGCCCCTTTGGTTTTCGGCGCTCCTTTGGTTTTCGGCGCTCCTTTGGTTTTGGCTCCCTTTTGGTTTTAGGCGTTCCTTCGGTTTTCGTGGCGTGCCTCTGGTTTTCGCACCTTGTCGGTTTTCGGTGGCCCTTTGGTTTTCGGTCCTTTTGGTCTCCGGCGCTCCTTCCTTCACAATAGCCAAAGGCGGGGGGGGCATCCAAGCCCCCCCCTTCCTGTAGTCAAAAAGGGGAGGATGTGGGGGGGGCTTCCAGCAGTGGAGGTTCAAAGGGGGGCTGGGGGGCTCCTGGGGGGAGGGGGGGGAAGAGGGGGGCAGCTTCCGGAGCGCGAAGGGGGGGGGGATGGCTTCCGAGGGGCGGAAAAAAAGGAGGGGGGGGGGCATCTGACAGGGGAGGTCCAGGGGGGGGGGGTTAGCCAAGCACTCCCCCCGCTGGAAAGGGAGGAGGGCGGGGGTAGCTTCCGGAGCGCGAGAGGAGGGAGGGGGGCAGCTTTCGAGGAGCGGGAAGACAGGGGCGAGGGCCTCCAGCAGGTGAGGTCCAAGGGGGGAGGGCAGCTAGGGGGGGAGGGCAGCTAGGGGGGGGGAGGTCCAAGGGGGGAGGCAGCTAGGGAGGTCCAAGGGGGGAGGGCAGCTAGGGGGGAGGGCAGCTAGGGGGGGAGGGCAGCTAGGGGGGAGGGCAGCTAGGGGGAGGGCAGATAGGGGAGGGGGAGGGCAGCAAGGGTACCGCGGGCGCGCTCTCTCGTGCATATGTTGCTGCACTTGGCCTGAATACTAGACTACGCGTGCGCTTGCAGCGCTG